ACTGTCCTGACGTCATAACAAGACCAAATGACGTCAGCGTGAATAGTGGTTGCAATTTTGCTGGGTATGTTTATAAACTTTATCCAGTATTGCAAAGTTTGATTGATTATTAGAATAATGTAATATAATATAGGTCATACTTTCGTTAAGTGTATTTCTTCAAATAATTAATGGCAGGTGGCTCTTTTCTTTATTATTATTTCACTCAACAAGGCTGAATTTCAGGGAAGTCTCCCAACATAAAACATAAGAAAGCGTCGTGCGACGCAGCCCGACGCGATTCATCGTCGGGGACGCGATTTTTTTCCGCACGAAACATATCCATGAAACTCCACTCGGGCCGTCTAGGATTGACTCGACTCGAGTTTGATACGATACTAAATTTAAATTATTAAGAACAAGAGCAGGCACTTCGCGATGTCGTGACGCTCGACATTACTATTACTACATTGTTCTTTCTATAGGCCTATGTTTACCTATACGGGAGAGCTATGAAATCTTACCGACTTAGGCGATGTAGTCTGTAATATCTATGAGCTTCTTGTATGTTATTAAATTGTTGGTATAAACAACAGCTGCTAGTAGTACTTTGGCAGCTCCTATGGCATCTAGTATTTTAGAGCTGTCTGTTCTCAGCTCTTTTAATTTGAAAATAACTGTCACCCTGTTTCATTTGATCAAGTAATGCTGCTCTTTTCCTTCATATTTGTACTTTCAAAGTGGCCTTCTAAAACTGTTAAGTTCTAAGTAAATACATTCTCTTAGTACCGGTACATGACAAATTTAAACTCTCGCTATTATGTATAATTTTTAGTAGTTCTAGTACAGGCCCGTAACTAGGATTTTTTGGGGGTTCAAATTTGTAAAAAAAGTGGAGCGTTTTGAAGATGTTAACGACCAACCAATTGCGCTGACCACATAAATAAGAGTTCCATCTTGAAACTTGTATTAAAAGTTGCTACTGTCTATAAAGATTATTTGAACAGGATTGTTTTGTTTGTTTTTTTTTTTTTTTTTTTTTTTTT